CGAATTTATACCACTAAGCATTGTGTCACAATATTTTATTAAAATAAAATTCTTCAATAGAAATAAGTATAAGTAAAGAGGGTTAAACTTTACCTTATCAATTTTAACCAGATACTATCAAACTTTTACTAATTAACAACCATCAAGAAAAAAGGAACTAGAAACAATACTCACTCAATTTTGTTTGAGTGAGATTGTTAATGCACAAGTCCATCCCTCTTGCGCTAGATTCTGAATTTTAAATTTATTATTATGTGTGCTTAAGATGAATCAAACTCACATCAAAGATATATAAATATGTTTCTAAAAAAAAATACTAAATTTATGAAAAGTTACTGCGCTCCCAAAAACCCCGTCTCACCATTAGCTCTAAGATCTACCTGCCTACATCCCACCTACTTGAAATTATAACGTTATAACGTTGTATAGACTATGGTTATTGATCTTTGGATCCTCCAATGAATTGAATAACAACAGGAGTAAAGTATTTAAATGCCTAATTTGTGAACGAGAACGAGTAGTGTAATTATCTCATGTGGACACTTGTCATTTGCATTAATGTAATCAGAAATTATTACTAGTAATAATAATAATACGTACTACTTGTCAATAATGAGCCTCACAAGTAGTAAAGTATCCGTACATATTTCGTATTACTCTGTGTGGGACGTGGGGGGGTACTGTAAGTCGAATTAAATAGAAGTCACAACGTGGAACTTTGGAAACGTATCATAATTTTAGCTTTCTTCGTCAGAAAATTACTCCGTACATTTTAATAAATATCTTAATTAATTTTGTTACAATTTTTTTTTTTTTATCTTTAATCAAAGATTTTGATTGGAGAACCTCAAAATAAAAAATGCTTTATTTACCACACTTTTAATACTAGACTTACTTGATGACTAAATATAAATTCAGATTAGTCAGATCAGTAAATTACAAATACGAAATGATTAAACCAAAAAAAAAATACAGGAGGAAAAGATAGAGAGGTAAGAAAAAAAAGTGCATGGTTTTCAGAGACGGAGACTTTTTTCACTAGTGGTAATTAATTTCGCATGTAAAAGTAAAGGCATTTCTTATATATCACCTCCATGCCCTATGGCTATAAGCATGGCTGGGTATATATAGATTGTTTTTAATGGACGGATAAGATTGAATATGAACCTATTAAAAAATAAATTAGATAAAAATGGATACTTGCATTTTTGATTCATACTGCCTGTACTATTAATTAATTTCACCCTAAACCCATGTTCAATTATATCACGGTGTTAAAAAAACTATAAAGTTCAACATCTAGCTATACATGACTTGTAGTATGGATTTTTTCTCCAAGGCTGTCAAATCAGTTAAAAAATAATTACTATCAACACGTCAAAATAGATTTTGACAAATTATCAGAATAAACATAATTATTTGGTATTCGAAATCTAGTGATTGTTCAGATTGTCTCATTAAATCAAATCAACTCAGCTTGCTAATCAATCTCCAAGATCTTTTATTGGGCGGCAAATCGGAGACAGACGACCACAGTCCTTGGCCTTATCAATATCGGAGGTATACTAATCAATCAACCCATAAAATCAATTTTCTTTTATGACAAAATAAGTCAAACCTAAGTGGTCACTGCATCTAGATTCAGTGTTTGTTTCCAGTCCTCTTCATGACAACAAAATGGATAGAAGAGTTTTCCATTGCGTAACTATTCTTTCCTCACCAATATGAGCTTAGATGGGTTGGCACCTTTAATTAAAGGTCTCTATCAGGTTTGAGTGTTGGTTATGAAAAAAGTCCTATGAAAAGTGCCCTCGTAGAAATGGGTTCTGCGATGGTTAGGTTCAGCTTAATCAGACTCTATTACGGATATTATAAACAAAACGCGAGGTGAAAAAAAAGGAAAGTCGGTAATTGCATTAATTAATGAATGAGTTAATTATATGCTTTTAATATGGATGGGAACACATAGTTTTCTGGTACTGAGTACTTATGTTTACACTTTTCTGGCCATTTGTTGGCTCCCAATTATGGTAATCTTTTTTTCTACATTTTCCGGTTTGCGTCGCTTTTACTTTATTTGGATAATGACTATTCAAATCATTTCATTTTTCTATTTTTTTCCTACTACCAGCTAGAGGTTTAGTGACTAGCTTTAATATGTGTGGACATCTTGATATACTTTTAATTATTGAATTTCAATTAATTACTAGTACTTAAAATTCAAATCAAATACTACCCTAATACTTGTGAAATCACAATAATATGCACTAGCGTCGGCAAGATTATTTCTCACCGAGTTGGTACCAGAAAGAGTACTTCTCCTTATATCTTTTACTTGTCACATTTCGCAATATCATAATTGTTAACTAACGTATTTTTTCATCATATTATTATAAAAAAGATTACAATTTATAAAGCATTTTTCATATATTTTTACAAACATCTATACTTTAAATTATTTTAATTTAATTTATCTCTGAAAATTAATCAAATTAACTTTTACATAGCAATATGCGACAAGTATATAGGATGGGAGGTTGTATATGTCAACAGTAACAGTAAAATTTGAGAAGCAAAACTAGAAGTGATAAAAGTGAATTTGTAGATAAAATTAAAAGGCAATGACAAAGAGGCTGATAAGAAAGAAAGTGCCTTGTTAAAATTTCCAAGTGGTCCTATGTAAGGAATAGAACGCCGAACACGACTTCATACCTATGACTTGAATTTGGGATTTCTGATTAAAAGATGTACGACTATTTACTACTCCATCATAACCCTTGGTGGTACGTAATAGCTCTGTCTCTCTCTTCATATATATATAATAAAATTTTAACTTATGAAAACGTGTAATAATTACTACTATATTCTATATCATATAGTTATATTATTTAGAAAAACAGGTCACTTATAATCATAACTAAGTCCAATCCCATACTAACTACTGGTTGAAGGTTAAATGATGATAGTACTACTATATATGAATTGGGTGGGTGAAAAGGATGTTGAATTTATCCTTATAAAAGCAGACCCTCTAACAGGAATTGGGTACATAAAATGTCAGACTCAAGCTATCATAATTCATATTTCTCCATCATTTTAGACTAAAAAGGAGATGAAATTCAACAAGAGTAGCCATCAGCAAGTGGAATATTTGAATTTACTCAGCTGTGCTGGTTCCTTATTTGTTCCAAAGTTTTTGGTCGGCAAGAAAGGGATGGCAATGCATATAATTGAAGTTACAATAATACCGTCCTATACTTGATTTACATGTCAACACATTATTGTTGAATCAGACACTATACAATGTATTGTGATGGAGATAATAAGTAAATCAACCACAACAACATACACTGAAATCCGAAAAGGATAGAACTTATGCAACCTTACCACTATCTCGTGAAAGAGATGTTGTTTTCAAAAGACCTTAGACTCAAGTGTAACAAATCCAGGTACAAAGAAGAATGAGACGGTGAAAAAAATATAGCAAGCTAAGTAGCAAGGAAACAATGCAAAGTCTGCCAGAATTAATGTACTGCTAATCGAAATATAATAAACAACATACTCCCTCTAATTACTTGTCCACTTTTCCTTTTTTAGTTGTCCCTAATTACTTGTCCATTTTGACAAATCAAGAAAAGATAAAAAAATTTACCTATTATACCCTCAATTAATTACTTAGAACTTTTTAAAAATCTTAAGTTTTTAATTCATCCACTTCATAATTAATAGGAGTAAAATGGTAAACTCACTATGTCAATTATTGTTTTTTTAATAGGTATGTCAATTGTAAAGTAGACAAGTAATTGGGAACAAAGAGAGTATTAGGATAGATTATTGAAAACAATACTAAACAATGATATATCATACCAAAAACAAGAGTTACAATACTATAACTAGTACAATGGCAAACACCAATTATCCTAAGCAAGCCCAATACTACACTACCTACTAATCTTCTATCCTAATATAATCCACTCAAATTGACTGTCCAAGTTTGGCAAGTTAATAATTATTAACTTGATCCGTTTTGGTTCGTCCAATTCGATCAATCTAAAAGTTGAGCTACTTTTAACTAAAGATGTAGTCTAAATTGATCTATAAGTACTCTTGTCAAAATATTTATTAAAACAAAGTTAATTTTTTGTTTGATGAACTATATTATATAATCATCATAAAGAAAAAAAATGCAAGTCATTTTAGCTGGGTAATTAAATAAATTATAACTTTTCTACAAGATACAATTTTAATGTATTTACTGAGAGGGCTAACAATTTTTTGGGCAAGGCATATTGAAGGAATTATTAAGTACATTGTAGACACTGAATGAAGGCAGGTTAATTATCAAGTATCTTGCATAGATTCAAAGGTTCCCTACCTAAAGTAGAAGGTTTGATTTCCACCCTCCAAGTAATTAGGGATCAATCACTTGGTATGTGTCCAGTAAGATCACCATAGAAAATAGTTGTGAGAGGTCAAATGGGCTAATTGAGTTTTTCATGGTCGATTATGACTTATGGTTACAAGACATATCTTTATTCAAACAGAATTTTTTTTTAACACTAGAGCAAGAGAATCACTATATTGTTGAGCTTCCATATTTGGTGATATAAGGAATCAATATTGACCTGCACTCAATAGAGTTGATATATCTCGTGAGACCTTTATCTTTATATGTTGTAAGATTGTAATTAAATGAATAAGTTGAGTTGAAATTGAGTATGTTAAAATAGATTGGCTATAAAATATGGGTGTTAGAGATTGTCCATGCTGAGTACTACTACTCTTATTTCGCCCACCACAACACCCATCACCCCTACCCCTACCTATTCTCGCAATTTATATCAAATTTATATAAATATTTTTAGAATAATATTTTTGGGCACCAAGAAAAAAAAAAATCAGGCAAATAGTGTACACTCCAAGGCGTACAAATGAAATTGTGGCCAACTATAATGCAACGTGACCATAGAACACACAAGTCCAGATGTCATCGTTTCATAGACCATCCTCATCGACTCACCAAATCTTCCATTTTCAGAAAAAAAAACAGCAATGGTAGCTGAACTCAAGCAATGATCTTTCTTCTTTCCTTCACAAATTCAGCTGCTACTCATCTCGTCTCCCTCTCCAAATTCCCAATTCTCAGAACCCCACAATTCTCCACCATGTCTACCAATTTCTTCAAGTCTCACGCCTTTGCAGGCAACCCCATAAAGCTAAGAACCCCTAAACCAACTGATCCATTTTCACCACCCTCTGCTCTCAAGACCCTTAAAAACCTTCTTTTAGGAAATACCCATGAACCCCATTCCCCTAATTTCAAGATCTTGCCTTTCAGAAAGGGAAGGCCATTGGCTGGTTCAGTTAGGGATTCGAATGAGCCGAATTGGCATCTGGGTTGGTTGAGTTTTGGGGATTGTAAGGCTTTTTTGGAGAATTCTGAGGTTAATTTGAGTGAAGATACTTTGGTTTATCTGGGTTCTGATTCTGAGGGTGATGGGGTTTATGTTGTGTACTGGGGTATTGATGTGACAGAGGCTGGTAATGGATTGGTTAAAGAATTGGGGGGTAATCAGTTTTGCTTTGTTGAGCTTAGGACTTTGATGGTTGCCACTGATTGGGAAAATGCTTCATCCATGGGACAACTTGCTATTGCTGGTCATGTATGTGTATTTCACCTCTGCCTTTTCAATTTCAAAAACTACAATTCTTGTATAACATTGATACAATTACATTGCTCGTCGAATTGGATTGCTGCTCTAGTTGTCTGCATTATGATCACCAGCTATATGAATTAACTTGGCATATTAATGTAGTGAATCATTTTCATAAACTATCCACTACCAGCTGGTATTTTGAACCCATGTACTCCTTTCGTTTTGATTTGTTTGTGTGGTTTTGACTTGGCATGGAGTTTAAGAAAATAAATAAACTTTTTAATCTTGTGGTCTTAAACTAAGATATGTAGTGTGTATCAAAATGATCTTTAATCTCGTGGAAAGTTAGATTACAGAGTTGCAAAAAAAGGAAAGATACGTTCTTTTTTAAACAGACTAAAGAGGAAAGTAAGACAAACAAATGAGACGGAATATCCTTTTTCAAGTTCTATCTTTAGTTATGTAGATTCTTGTAGGCAAGAAAATGTTGTATGTTTAGAATACTACTTAAGTGATCTTACATAATCTTTATCTAGAACTGCTTAACAGAGGATCTCTTGTTATGAAATTGCAACCTGGTTATGCAGTTAACATCACGTTGTAAATGTGCATTTCAAACTTTATTATCTTAAGATTCTTAACCTCAATTATATTAAGCGTGTTTTAAGGGTTGTCTCAGAAAGTGTGGATGTGTCTAAGAGTCCTGATAATTCCATCTAGCATCAAGTTTGTTTCTAATTCTAAGAAAATGAATTTGGGTTTTTGCCACATTATTGTCAATGTTGAACTGCACATATCCAATCATTCGGTAGCATTCTGTTTTAGTTATTTGTTATAAGTACCTTCTAATGCTAAAAATGGCGACCACAATTAACTGAATGTTTTACTTTTTGTCTTTGGAATTTTATCAGGCCAGATCATTACTAGAATGGCATACAGTATCACGTTTTTGTGGATTTTGTGGTGGTAAGAACATTTTAATTGATGCTGGGAGACGGAAACAGTGCTCTAATGAGTTATGCAAGAAGAAAATCTATCCTCGAGTTGATCCAGTATGTCAATCAGATCAATTTTGTTCTCTCTGATTAATATTCTGCTTGTGGTTGTACACTTTTTTGGTTTACTTGTTTTTCTTTGTTTCGTGGAAGAGGTTATGGGACTTGTATACTGAAATGCTACATGAGAATCCTAACTTTCTTTGGCATGTCTTGTCCTGGCAACAGGTTGTGATTATGTTAGTTATTGACAAAGAGAATGACCGTGCGCTATTAAGTAGGCAGTCAAGATTTGTGCCTCGCATGTGGAGTTGTCTAGCTGGTTTCATGGAGGTATGTGGCGTGCTTTTGATTTTGAGCAATGCATTTTCGAGCTGCTGCATAACTTGTTGCCAAATTTAGTTAAAAAATAGCAGTCATATGTCTTGATCACTATGGATGTTGTCCATGGTGAAAAAGAAATTTAGTCACTAGAACCTCATTCCTGCATCAGTGTATTAGTTATTTGACTTATTTTCTATTAGCCAGTGGTCAATTTTTATTACTTCCTCAGTGTATGGAGTAGGAAAAAAAGGTTTTTGAGTTTTGACACAAGCTAAATATTTTAACATAGCCCAAAATACCTTAGCATCTTGTGGTCTACAAAATGACTGTCTTATCATAAAAAAATGATTTTTTTTTTTTCAATCTTTTGAAACAAGAAATGGAAAGAGTGTCACATAATATGGAACGGAGGGAGTATTTCAATTTTCTGCATAGTACTTCAGCTCCTTTTTGTTTTTTGGTTGGTTTGCTGTCTCCCTTTTCTGTTTCAATAGGTGTACAATTAGCCAGCATTGGTTTTTGATCCTGTCATTCACAATTTATTTATGAAACATGTTAATTAGTATCTAAATTTATTAGTAGCCAGGAGAAAGTTTGGAGGAGGCTGTGAGAAGAGAAACATGGGAGGAGACCGGTATTGAAGTTGGACAAGTTGTTTACCATAGTTCTCAGCCATGGCCTGGTAATGTTCTTGGAAACAGATTTATGGTATTTGTTCCCTTCTGTTCTTTTAGTTATTTTATACACCTAGCTTTTTCTTAATGATGTAAGGTAATTATGTAATTAGTGTTTTTTCCAAGGAAAAGTGCCAAAAAGTGACAAGGTAAGGTGGGTGGAACTTGAAGCGGAAAGAGAGAAGTGAATCACACAATTTATGAAGAAAATTTAAATTACTAAACATACATGAACTCAGTACTAATGATTATTCAACATCCAATATAAGAAAATGCCTTTATTAATCCAACTCCTCAAATCGAGATTCAAAGAACAAGTGAATCACAGAATTTATGATCACATCCATTATAAGAAAATGCCATTATTGAGATTCAAAGAACTGATCCTGATTTTCATTTTGATAACTTTATGAATCATTCTTTGAAGCGCGTGACTTCACCCATGAAGCAATAACCATTGCTTCGCATCGTAGCAACAAAGCAATGCCTTTTAATATCAATGCTGGGAATGAATACCAGAGTAGCTCCTAATTGTTACCACCAATCTTTTAAAAAAACATCATATTGGTGTGATGCATATCACTTGTCAGCTTTCCATTTTTCTTTTGAGCATTGTTGATCTAATTGTGCACCAATCAGTTGCTTCATGAAATGGTCTCTAGAGGTTTTCTTTTCCTCATTGGCAGTTGTTACTGAACATTTTATCTGTATTTCTTGCATGCCAGTTTTCTTTTAGCTCATGTGATTATCATTTTACTGTATGATTCCTCTACAGTTGGACCTAGCAGCATGCCATGCCAACTTATGGTGGGATTCTTTGCGTATGCAAAATCACTGGATATTAATGTGGATAAGGAGGAATTAGAAGGTAACTTGAAGATCTTTAATTTTGATCGACTCCCTTTGACTTATAATGCTTGACTTCCACCTTTATATTTTGATTATGGGCATTTTCTTTCTTTCTGTGACGGTGAATAAACTTGTGATCTAGATGCGAAATGGCACAGCAGAGAAGATGTGAAAAAGGCACTCACAATTGCGGAATACAAGAAGGCACAGAGGACTGCTGCTGGTAAAGTGGACCAAATGTGCAAGGGTGTAGAAAGAGGACAGAGTTTGTCTTCCGATTTCAATGTGGAAAGTGGGGAACTTGCTCCTATGTTTATCCCGGGGCCCTTTGCAATTGCTAATCATCTCATTTCCTCTTGGGTGAATGGGATTGAATCACAACTTGCAAGTTCTTTCTCAAATTTATAGGTTGGTGCTCACCAATGAAGTTTTTTTTTTGCGGCATGTCATTTAATCTTGTGTGTATCATCTTTCTATTACCAAATCTCTTGTTTGAAATCGATTTGCTGAAATTGTTGCAACGTTAATACTGTAGTAAGCTCCTCTAATCTGTTAATGTGCTCAAATTATTAAGTTCCTGTTCCACATAGTTTTTCTACTTAGGAGGTAAGGTTAACATGAAGGATGTCTTTCTGTGTGACAGGACTTTAGTAATTGACATCAACAATGTTGTTCTCAAAGCTTCTTAGGTAAGTAAGATCTTCCATATCGTCAAATCTTCATTGTATTGTCGTATCTTCCTCTTCAAATGATTGATGCAACAAATAGTAGTCTAATGTTGATCTCAATTTTCTTTGCTCTTGTTGGATTATTTTGGTCTGACTAGATGTAAGCATAAATCAAAGAAAGAGACAATGCCAAATAGTGAAGGTTTCTACATAAAATGACCTTAGTCTACTCGTGAAGAAACGAATATGCTTTGTTATTCTAAAACTTGTGGCTTTCTGTTTTTACTTGGTTAAATTTGTCTATTTGGTGAAAGAGGTGGCTGGGAGATTCATTTAGAATGTCAATCGTCAATATGCTCATATTGGTGACGTTATTGTTGCTGTGATCAAAGCAGTACCAAATAGATCAGAAGTAGTCAGAGCTGTTTACAGTAGAATTTTGTATCTTTGATCGACATATGTTATAATCCTCAACTTAGAGAAACGTTAGTTTACCTGTGAAAAGAGAGGATTGATTCTACATTCATTTCCATGTCGTTGAATGCAACATGTATTTTTTTCTTTTCTAGGCCACCACTACCCTCCGATGAGACGAACAATTAATCTTGCAGGGGAGTTGAACCTCCATATGTGCTGCAACAATACCATTGATTCAGTAGATGAATGCTGCTGGCAAGTGTGAAAATGGACGTGTATACGTACATGCATAGCAGACGTGCTAGTATAAATTTTAAGCAATTGCACTTCGCACTACTTAATTTGTAATTTGAATTTTGTGTTATAGAGATATTTACGCCACATAGCTCATATTTTGAGTTTGTTGCCCAATTTAGCTTTTATTTGTGTATAAACACCTTGCGTATACATTTCTATATAAGAATGATATATTATGTATCTTGTTTTTTTCCAGTTAAATGGCGTAATAACTAATCCTAGTTCTGAATATGATTATTAATTAACATCCTGTACTAAGTAGAGTATAATATATATAGTACACATGCAATAACAAAACAAATATAAAGAATCAATTCATTTCTATTTGTTCTGGTTTGTATAATCTGATAGGACGTTTATTTAGTGGCTGAGCTGGTCTAGCATTGCTTTCAGATTCCTGTCATTAACAAAAAAAAAATCAAGAAAACAGTGTTACTATCAAACTACCAAATTTATCGGTAATTCAAGTTAATTCGTCACTAAATAGCTTCAAAAGTCATAGCTAAATAAGATTTAGCACATAATTTTTGTTGTTGAGCTAAAAAAAAAAAATCATCGCCAATTTCTTATTTTCTAGCCGTGTTTTAATTGAAGAGCCATCCTTTTCGAATCTCACAAATTCATTATTAAATACTCGTTTTTGAATCCAAATATACAAAGAAACATACACTATAAGTAAATGAAATATAATTAGGTAAGAAAATTATTACTAATTACTAAAATTTTAATTTGGGGTAGCAACTCACATCATGAACAGCATCTCTGATAAGTTTCATTTGTCTTTTGGTCACAGTTTTCACCTGGGAAATTAAAAAAAAATCACTTAATTAAAATTACTTTCAAAATGTGAAATTCTTAAATTTAATTTTCATAATATTGAGTGGGATTTTTTTTTTATTAATTACCTTTCTATCCATAGTCCAGATAACACCTTCAGTGCAAGGTGGTACTGTTAGGGAGCCAATATACCTATAATATTTTTTGCCATCTATTTTTATTTGCTTTGGATTAATTCTTCCAATGGCTCTCTCCACACCTTTTGTATTAGCAAGTGCTTTTAAATCCTTCTCTATCTGCGATATTAAATTACACTGATAATATAAAAATTAATTTTATTTTAATACTGTCAGTGAATATAATTTAAGTCGGAGCCGTCCAATCTTGTAGATGATTCCAATAACAGCAGTCTTTCCATCATTGCTTTCATGTACCAAATGTGCCTCCAAATTAAACCTGCATTTAATTTGTTGATATAAATGCATAAAAAAATTATGCAAAAAATAAAGAAAAAAATAGATTGGCTCAGCTATAATAAAATCTATTATTGTCACTTATCAATTTATATAATACAACGATGTTTAACATGGAAAATAGAGTTAAAGGGGAGAAAAATAAAGAAAATCTTTTAGCACATATCAGAAATATCTTTAGAATTTATCGCCGTTTGAAATATTTAATGATATTTTTAAGGCTAGAAGGACAAGATATCATTAAAAGTACGTACAATGGGAAATTCAAAATTAATGAATTTTTTAAATAAAAAAATGTCATTATTTTGTTTTTGAAACAGATTAAAAGAAAAGAGTAGTGTCATGTAAAATAAAATTTAGTCGGCCAGCTGAAAAATTTCACAAGAGGGTTCAGAATATAAAGAGATATATATACGAAGAAACTAAAAGGATTCAAATGATGTTATATAAATAGTGTAATTTTTTGACAAGGAAGGTTACTGGCTCCGCCCTTGTGGGGGGTGTTAATACTAACAGTATATATGTATGCCATAGAATATATACATTTTTCCATTGATTGTGTGTTCAGAAGGTGTATGCCAATGACATTGTTTAATTTGATACTGAGTTCCATTTATCAGAAGGTAATGTCAAGCTGACCAAAAAGAAGTTGCTTTTGACTAAACTTGTAGTCATGAGAATTTTCTAAAATTTTATTCAGGTGGATAATTGAAGCCTCCTACTATGTACTTTCTGGATATTAATTAATTGTATATGCTGTATAATAAAAAGACAGTCCGAGGACTCCTTTTTGGATTTCTTAATTCTCTGGAGTATGTGTTGGTTGAGATTAAAAGGACAGTTTGGTGCATTAAAATTTTCGTTATATGTTGGATTCAGAATAAAATTGAATTATAAGTGTTTATTATATGCAATCTTATTTTACATTTTTACAAAAGACTATTTCTACAAATTAAAACCATGACCTTCTGGTTGAGATTCCATGCATCGAATAATTAAAGACTACCACGATAGTTTCTTTATTGAAACTAAAATTCTATTTTCATTTCTCATGTCACATGCATGCCAATCTTTTTTGATATAGTTGTGATATTCGGGTCAGGTTGCATTTATCTAAATTAATTTCATAAGATACTTTCCACCGCACACCAAAAATATTGTACTTCCTCCGTCTCAAAATAGTTGTTCACTATACTATTTTGGGATGTCCAACAATATTTGTCCACTTTATGATATCAATGGATAATTTTATATTTAATTCCTAATACTTTTCCTATTATATTCAAAGGGTGATATAGTAAAATCACCATTCTATTTATAATTTCTTAAAGGGTGTGTCAAGTCAATAATGAACAAGTATTGTTGGACAGAGGGAGTATCAGACAATTCCGTCCATCAAAATTAAAACATACATTAAGAATTACAATTTTGATCTATGCTAGGTGATCTCTTAGCTACCAATATAGACTATAAATAATTAGACCTTTACAATTACTCTAGAGAGTTAAAAGATATATTATTTTTACAAATTACAATTATGTGCGTCTATGATTCTGAAATGTGAATAAGTTACACAAAATAGCATGGTCCGCTTTTATTTTTATTTTTTATTTTTTTTTGTCAGGACACTTTTTGGGGGTAAAGGAAGAAAAAATAGTAGAAGAAGACATATATTGGTGTAGAAAATCCTTCAAGAATTTATAAAGAAATATCCTATATTACTTCTTAATTCTTATTGCTAAATAGAGAACTCATACAGTATAAATTAGGTACGTTGTAATGCTGTATTATTTTCCTCGTCGATCGTATGTAGGAACAGTTGCAACACAAAATCAAGGCTATTAATACGTGATCGTAGCGACCCATCGTCTAGTTTAAAGTTAACCTAGCCAATCAATGAAATTACTAAGGTTTGTTAAATTTGATAGAACGTTCGTTTAATGGCTGAATTGGTCTGGCATTGGATTCAAATCCCTGAGATAAACATGAGAAGAAAAATCAAGAAGTAGGTTATATAATTCCTTTCGTCTAAAATAAGTAAATTTTTCTTTTTAAGAAGGAAAAATATATGCTAAAAGTTTACTTATTTTGAATTGAAAGGAGTTAAATATAAGTAGATTCTACAATTTTTTAAAAATTGAAGAACCACCTTTAATTTTTCTTGTCGCACAAATTTTAATATATAGTAAAAAGAAAATTATTTTAATAGGCGCTTGGACATCAATTGAATGATGTATGTGATAAAAATAATAGCATTTTGAAGGTAAATTGAAAATTAGTATCGGAAAAAATAATTTAGGCATGCATTACGCTAGAAAAAATATATAAACAAAAGTTTTTTTAAAGAAAAAAACAAATAAATAATTTTGGGGTAGCAACTCACGTTAACAGCAGCATCTTGGAGCAGTTTTATTTGACTTGCCGTTACACTGTTAACCTATGAAATTGAAAAAGAGAAAAAAAATCGCATAATTAAATTTAATACTAAATGGGAATACTTAATTACTCTTAATTTTCATCATAATAATGAATTTAGGCAAATTTAATTACCTTTCCATCAATAGTCCAAACAACACCTTCAGTGCAAGGTGGAGTAGTTAGGGAGCCAATATATCTGTAATATATATTGTCATCCAATTTTATTATATTTGGATCATGTATTCCCATGGCTTTTTCTGCACTTCTTTTATCAGCAAGAGCTACTAAATCACCCTCTAGCTGTAATTACATAAGCAAACAATATCAAGAAGCTGAAAAAATAATTAGATCGATCGATTAAATTATACAGATAGCGTAAAAAAATAAAATTGTATTTACTATGGTTAGGAGATCATTAGGCAATAATCCAATTTCATAGAGGATTCCAATGACAGCAATTTTCCCATCACTGCTCATATGTACCAAATGAGCCTCCATATCATACCTGAATTATATTTATTCAAAAAAAAAAAAAAAATACTTGGTTGAGATTATGTAGATGAGTGTGTAAATAATGATAATTTTTCTCTTTGTGTACGTTCATTTATTTTTAATATTTCTAACAATTTCATTTTCTTTCAATAACTCAATTTTTTTGAATTAGTTGTTTCCTTTTATGCTACGTTTAATTGGTTCATATATAGATTAGAAAGTAACTTCCTTTTTATGATTTAATTAACTTTAAGAGGCCTCGCAAATTAACATTATTTACGCCGTCACAGGGGTGAAACTAAAGTACAAGTTATGGATTTAGACAAATTTAGGAATTTTAGTTCAAATTTTATATTTATTTAATAAATTTATTCAACATATACAAATTATTTTTTCCGTTGCAATATTTGGATAGTCAAATGATATATTTTCCTTGATTATAATTTTTTCAAATATTTAAAATTGTTAACTATTCGTATGATTTGTATTACTTTTTGTAATTTTGTGTAGTTTCTAAATATGTCAGTTTTATTTCAAAAATTGAAGAATCTATGTCTAATATCACACCTGAACATTAGTTAATTTAACCTTCATACTATGAATCAAGTATAACAAATTGAATAGATTTAGCACCTAATAACTTAAAAATGAGTAGAATCACGAATCTCATAAACTTTAAATCATGACTCTATCTCTGATTGCAATAAATATATACCATATACCTTTTCCCATCGATACTATGTTCGGAAGGTGTGTGCCAATGAATTTGTTGGAGTTGATATTGAGTTTCATCAATCTTCAAGTATCCTGAATCACCATCCCATCTCAACTGCATTTATAAATAAATATATATTATAATCACAACTTAAAATTTTTATTTCAATATGAGTGATGATATATTATCCACAATATATATTACTATATACTATAATGATACAATTTTCTTACGTACCATGATATCATGTCCTCTATTCACGAGAGTGGCATTGGATGGCTTGTAGTATTTTTGAAGAATTCCTAAATTTGATACAACTTCAACCATTTTGTTATCAAGGTCAATTGGAGACTGTAAATTTCCATTGCAGTTACTCGAGATTTTCCCCCAATTAGCTGGTCCGTTCTTCGCGTTTTTGTCATAACTAAACTCATCACTCATATCATCTACATTTACTCAGACATAATTAAGAAACTTACAACTATGTACACTGACGGTACAAAAAAAGAAAAGAAATAACACTATTAAATCATCTTATATGAACACGAGCTAAAAAAATTCTAATTAATACATTTAACGTACCAACTTCTTGAGATCTTGGAAGAAATGCACTTGAAAGGAAAAGAAAAGAAAAGAAGAAGATTTTGATTGTTGTTGCCATATTCATATTCATATTCATATTATATCTTCAACCGTTGAAATATTTTGTGAGTTAATGAGGAAACTCAGTAAATTTATAGAGACTTATATAAGGGGGGTAACGTTATATGAAGCTAACCAAAATTAAGTTGTAATTTTGACTGATTTTCTCTTGAGTTTAATTGCTGATTGAAAATTCGAAATTCTATTAAATTGATGATAATAAATTCTCCTTTTATTTCTCACATGAATGTATATTTCCCATTTTTGACATGAGTGATGGTACATTATGGTCGATGGTTATATATTCATGTTGAAATAAACATTGCTAAAACACATCAAGATGACTTTACGATGTAAAACAGTATCGAATATATATATAGAGAGAGATCGTATACTTTTTATATTTGTATATATTTTGCACACAATCACTAGTTTTGAAGTCATTTTCTCCAAAAAATCATTACTTTCTCTGTCTCAATTTATGTGACACCGTTTGAATTTCGTGAGTCAAACAATTTAGTATTAATCGTGGATTAAGGCATGATCTTTAATTTTTTTTTAAAATAACACTTATATATTTGAAAACTACATAAAAATTACTGCAAGTCACAATAATTGATAATTCAAGACATTTAAAACATATTTGGAAATTATGGTCAAAGATATACTTATTTGAATTTTCGTAATGAAAAAATTGTCACATAAATTAGAACAGAAGAAGTATATTTTACGTGTGTACACTTACATGACTACTCACCAAGTAAATATGATTTTTTTTTTCGTGTCAAATTTCCAATGTAATAATGGATTAATTAAAGTTCTTACGAAATCTCTCCTTCAATTTGTCAATTTCTCTTTTGCTTATTCTGGATCTTTGCATGTTACGTTATGGCTTACGTTATTCCCATCCAATAAACTAAATCTGGTAACATAAATGACGTTAAGTCTCAAATACTTATAATTAGGACTAATTTCTTTGTTTTACTGCTATATATTGATTGGTTACAATTTACAGCCTAGACTAAATGATTCTGGTCTTTTGCATCCATTCCATTTTTGTTAAATTAAAGTCTATTATAGGAATATAATAACAGAACTGAAAAATAAATAAAGGTTCTACTAATTAAATCAGGAAATATTTCTTCGTCCCAAGTTAGTTGTCGTGTTTCACTATTCTAATGTTTTCCAAAGTTGACGATGTATTTTGCTAATTAATTTCACAATGAAGCACCAACAAATCAACGTGCAGAACATATTACGAGTAATACTTATTACTGATACAATTGATACAATGAGATACTTATGATACAATTATTTGTAACATAAAATCATATATATTCCTAGTTCTAAACACCGTTATTATCATCGATAGACAATATAATAACTTAATTTATTTTCTTGAATGAAAGCTTCTTGGTAACGGATGAGGGTTTGACATGATCCCTACCGATTTATTAATAAAGATAGAACTAGATTAATTATGGGAAGGTTATTAAATACTCCCTAATCAAGCAAATGACCAAGGTTTGTTGAATTTGATAGGACGTCCGTTTAATGGCTGAATTGGTCTGGCATTGTATTCGAATCCCTGAGATAATTTAAATAGTATATGATGTCAAATTCGAAATGAAAAATAGATACAACATATAAACAAGCAGATTTTCGAAACATAATTAAAATTTTATGTTAGAAACTCACATCATGAACAACATCTCGGAGCAGTTGAATTTGTTTTCTGGTTACAGTTTTAACCTGAAAATATTTTTTTTTTTAAAATAACATAATTAAAATTACTTTGAAAAATGTAAATAATTATATTAAATTTTGATAATAATGAGTTGGGTTTAATTGATTTACCTTTCCATCAATAGTCCAAATAACATTTTCAGTGCAAGCTGGTACTGTTAAGGAGCCCATATACCTGTAATATCTTTTTTCATCTATTTTTATTAGATTTGGATAATTAATTCCAATGGCTTTTTGATCTGCAAGTCTAAGAGCTTCTAAATCCTTCTCTATCTGTGATAATTACAAATAAATAATAATATCAAAATTTTAAAAATATACAATCGATTAAAGTATACTGATAGCGTAACAAATAAATTTGTGTTTACCATAGTTAGGAAGAGATCAGGAAATAATCCAATCTCGTAAAGGATTCCAATGACTGCAATATTCTTTCCATCATTCGTTTCATGTACCAAATGACCCTCCATATCAAACCTTCATTTGATATACGCGAATAATTCTTAATAAAACTATTTACACTATCAGTATATATATACATATATACACACCCTTTATGAATATACCTTTTTCCATCGATGGTATGTTCAGAAGGTGTGTGCCAATGAACTTGTTTAAGTCGATATTGAGTGCCATTTATCTTCAAAAATCCTCCATCATCCCATCTCAACTACATTATTTATAAATTAATACTTAATTCACTTATTACAAAATAATTTCAATTTATAATATCATGATCAAAGTCGATTTTTTAAATTTAAACGTACGTACCATTATATCATGGCCTCTGTTCAAGAGAGTGGCATTTGATGGTTTGTAGAATTTTTGAAGTATTCCTAAATTGGAAACAATTTCAACCTTATTGTTAGGAAAATCAATTGGAGACTGCATTTTTCCAGTTTTGCATTTGATCCAATTTGGATGAATATTGCTCCAGTTAGCTGGTCCATTAATCTCCGCGTTTTCAACGTAACTAAACTCACTCTCATAATCTACATCAATTCCCCAAAAGGATCACAACTTTATTCACTAATATGTTAGTGTAGAAGAAGTTTTATTTGTACTATCAAATCAGCTAAAAGATATAACGCAGATTAAAGGATGTTAATATTGCAAATTAAAAAGACACTCGAGGGTTCTATTTCTAATAATAAAATACATTTAACGTACCAACTTCTCCAGATCTTGCAAGAAATGCACTTGAAAGGAAAGCAAAAGACATAAACAACATTTTGGTTATTGTTGCCATATTCATATTATTATATCTTCAACTATACTTAGAAGTGTTTTGTGAGTTGATGAGGAAACTCAGTAAATTCATTGATACTTATATAGGGGGAGTAAGGTAATATGAAGCTGACCAAAAAAATGTTGTAATTTTGACAATCTTCTCTTGCCAACTTTTTTTTTCCGACTAATTCCACGGGTATTTGTCACGTCCTACTAGCAATAGGGATCAGGTAATTCTGACCACCAAAATTTTTTCTCTTGCCAAATGTTATTAATTTTGATTTAAGTTATATGTACTAACAATCTTTTACACCATCAGTACTATATATATATATTCTACTATATTATAAAAGGGAGTTTAGGCCCAAGTATAATATATAATATTCAAGATTGAGACTTTTCCCAATCTTGAATATTATTTATTATACTTGTGGGACTTTTAAAAGGGAGGGAGTTTATGCCCAAGTATAATATATAATATTCAAGATTGGGACTTTCTTGAATATTATATATTATATTTATTATATAGTAGAACTTGGGCATAAACTCCCTTTTAAAATAATTATATATATATATATATAGAGAGAGAGAGAGAGAGAGTAAATATATATATATATATATATATATATATATATATATATATATATATATATATATATATATATATGTCACAAATGGAAAAGTCCCAATCAAGGAAGCAACATATATCATTTACAAATGACTTAAAAAAACATTAAAAATTACAATAATTACCAATTTAAAATATTTAAAAGCTATATAATAAAATAGGTTGACTCTCAGAATTCTATCAAACTCACATATATTGGGACAGAAAAAATAACACATATCATTTTAAAATTACCAAAAAAGTATTATAAATAATAATAATTAACAACTTAAAATATCTGAAAGACATTTTAAAATGGTTAATTTTGTAATTTTATCTATATCACATAAATTAGGACAAAGTGACCAGTAATGTACGTTATTTCAAAGTTACATAAAAATATTATAAATCACAATAATTAATAACTTAAAACATTTTAAAAAAAATATGAAAATTTGGATGACTCTCCAAATTTCATTTGTGTCACATAAATTGAGACAACAAAAATAACATATATTGGGTCCATTTTAATTTATTTGTCTTTTTTTTTAATATTTAAAAATTGTGTAAAAATACAATAAATCATGATAATTGACAACATAAAATATGTTTTGAAAAAAATACAAAAAATTCCACTGATTTTTGAAGTGAATCTATCGTAAAAATACTATAAATCATGATAATTGACAACATCAAATATTTACAAAATGTTGTATGTGGGTAGTCTTATTATGCCTTAAATAGGGTCAAAGAAAGTACATGTTTGTGATAAAAAAACCTTATTCCTTTATCCACGCAAACAAGCACTTCAAAAACTTGGTTATTATCCCCAAAACATATGATTTATATTATTGGGCCCGTGCATAGCACAGGCAACATTATCTAGTATTATATAGAAAAACTACTAATTATATTTTTATTAAGTTACCAACTATACTTATTTCTCACATGCATGCATATTGCCTATTTTTGACATATGATTGACGACACATTATTCATGTTGAAATAGACCTGCTAAAACACACAAAGATGACGTTACGGTGGAGATTACATATTTTGCTATGTTATTTATTTATCGTGAATCAAAATTTGCGATCGCTAGCTTCCGCATACTATTTTGATAATAAAAGATCAGTTATGTGTAAAAGTAAAAATTTATTTGTATTTTATGTTTATGTCAAATAAATAAATATAAAATAAATTCCGCAATCAAACTGTCACAATTTATTTTTTGAAAGAAGAACCAAATTAAAAGTGAGAACACTCTTGTCAACGAAAGCACAAGTAGATTAGGCTTTGCTGATAGAGGCTGCTGCAGCTTTTACTTAATTGGCGTTTTGGACAATTTTTTGAAGAAAAAAAGTTATGAAATAATTTTCTGGAAAAATTCTAGAAAAAAATGTTTTAAACGTTCACATCAAAGTTTTTAATTAACTAAACTCAAGGTTGTTTTAGTCCCAAAAAAAAAACGCTTGTTTTCAAAAGTCTCAAATTAGAGTTTTAATCAATTAATTACTTGCACAATATTTAAATGTGATTAAGATAAATATCTTAAATGCCTAATCAATTCTTCTGGAATTTTATTTTCACATCTTTCTTATCCTATATGGCTCTTTCTAAGCTAATTAATCGGGTACAACTCCCTTAATTTACATCTATTCAGGGTTTCACCTCTCATGGTGATCGCGATAGAATTTAACATCGACCCTTACCTTATTTTTTATTAAATAAAACAAAAATTACCTTAGAGTTCAAGCTTGAATTCTCATCTTCATTTCTTCTCCATCTATCTAACAAATTGTCTACCTCTCTATATATCTTATTTGATTTTGTCCTTAATTCATCTTTTCCTTATTGGCTTCAATTGAGCTAATATTTTTTTATTTGAAGAATAATATATGACATGATTTGAGCTAATTGCATTACATTCACTATATACAATTTAGTTTGTTGCTTTGACATTGTTGTAGGTAGCTAAATCTCTTTTTAGGCAAATCATGTAATATATAATTCTTCAAATAAAAAAGAAAAAAGGACAAATATACATCCGAACTATCGTAAATGGTATGCATATATCCTCTGTCATATTTTTGAGACACTGATGCCCTTGCCATCCAAAAACTAAAGCATATATGCCCTTCACTCTAATGGAAGACTAAAAAAGGACACGTGGCACAATCTTATCCGTCGATCTAATATTTAATAAATGTCGGGTCGGTGGATAAGATTATGATGTCCGTTAGTATAAAGGGTATATGTGCTCTAGTTTTTGGACGGCAGGGGCATCATTGTTTCAAAAATATGACGGAGGATATTTGCATACCATTTACGATAGTTTAGGGTATATTTGTTATTTTTCCCAATAAAAATATATAAGTCAATTATACATCCATCGGCTATTTTAACTTTAGTTTAAGCAGTTTAGTCTACAACTATACCTTTAGCTAGGTAATTAATTCGGTAATTGTTATATTCTCTTGCAACTTGTGATCTTCTGCCAAATTTATGGCGCAAGATTACTTTGGATTCTGACTATAATAACAGTTAATTAGGATTAGGCTTCATTATTAAATATTATGTAATTAATCTTTTTTTTTACACCAAGACTTTAAATTGGAGCTAAAGTACGAAAAATAGGGGTATTAAATGGTGAATTGACTAAATTTTGGGGGGTCAAATTAAACGGAGTTAATAAATGTGCGGTCAAAATGGGTATAAGCCCAATATTTCTACCAAATTCTGCAAATACTATACGAAAAATGGTCAAAATTACCCTCAAGTTATTCAAAATAGCTCATATATATTATTTAATTATGTTTGGGATCAAAACTATCCTTGTCGTCTATGTTTTGGACCACAAATACCCTTAAAACGTTATCTTTGCCATTAGTGTTGACATGACAGTCCAGCCAGGCAATCCAACATGACAAAACCTCTCAATAATGTTGTTCTTCCTTGTTCATCCTTATCGCAATAAGAAAATCAAATTTAATTATTCCATTGTTCTTGTTTGAGTTGTTGTTCGGACTTTGGTTCATTGTTTGGGTTTTGGGGTCACAGATTCACAAAAACAATTTTTAGATTTTCTAATTAAGAACTCTTTCGTATATTTTTTTAAGATTTCAACTCAAATCTTCAAATGTCAATCTTCAAACTAAAAAATCAGTGGTTAAATGTCAAATTCCAGCTTCAATTGCAATATCCAAGCAATTTTTAGTAACATTCAATTAAATCTCTTCAAATTTTTGCACTTAAAAACCCAACAAAAGCTAGAAATTTCTCACTAACAAGCTTTCAAATGAGTAACTATTTTTGAGTTTCAACACAAAAAGAATGACTTCAAGAGTTCTTCAACATCTTTCAACCTTGAGAATTTAATTTTCAGTCTCAAATTCGATGACATCAAAACCCAAACAATAAACTCGATCATTCAACACACAACTACTATCTCAAACGATCTTCAAAGCACTTCGAAATTGGAATTTCAAAGTCCGAACAATAACTCAAACAAGAACAATGAAAGAACTATTTTTGATATTTTTGTTTTAAAAAAAATTGTGATAAAGATGAACAAGGAAGAACAACATGATTGAGAGGAAGGATTTTTTTCATGTTGAACTGCCTAGGTGGACTGTCATGTTAGCAAATATGGCAAATATAACGTTTTAAGGGTATTTGTGGTTCAAAACATAGACGGCAAATGTAGTTTTGATCCCAAACATAAATAAAGGGTATATATGAACTATTTCAAATAGTTTGATAGTAATTTTGACCATTTTCCGAATACTATATAATTTGTTTGATTATTAGTAATTTTATTCTTTATTATGATATATAACAAATTAAACAAAAAAGAATTAAAAAGATTTCTTATTGATCAATTCGGTGAGGTTTTAACCCAATTTTAGATGGGCTGAATCAGGTGGAATATCAAAGTGAACTGTGTTAATAGATAGACTAGTTAACTTAAATAAATTGGGCAAATCATATTTTCATGAGCTAATTTTACGTTTTTACTACTTAATTTTTTTTGGTAAAACCCAATGCAACGAAATAGGATTTCATTTGTTATTCTATGATTTTTTTAAGAAAAAGACAATCGATAGACTTTAGAAACCGATGATATATCAAAGGACGTCCGTTGATATTTTCTTTGTATATAATATTTTTTGATGTTATTGAGTCTGTCAATTTTGGATCGGTTTTATTTTTGGGGAAAAGGACAAATATACCCCCGAACTATCGTAAATGATATGCAAATACCCTCCGTCATATTTATGGGACATTGGTACTGCCCATGCCGTCCAAAAACTAGAGCATATATACCCTTTATACTAACGGACATACACGTGTCATAATCTTATCCACTGATCCGACATTTATCGACAGATAAGATTGCGCCACGTGTTCCTATTTAGTCTTCTGTTAGAGCGAAGGGCATGTATGC